CAGAACTTGAACGTTCACCTTTTGAGCTGAACTTCTAAATTCCTGGCACTCGAAATCGGAATGAGCATCAAAAAACTGTAACAACGGAGTAAAATAGCTCCTGTAAGCTCTGCAATGTGACTGGATAATTTGCATCGTTAGCCGTCCCGAATCAAAAGGTTTTAAATTTAACTTTCTGTCCTCAAATGAGCTCAATCACGAGCCATCTTACGAAAGTAAATCCACTTATGACATACAGAAATATACTCTTGGGATGGTAGAAACGAACATAAACGAGAAGGCGAAGCTCTCTCCCGCCTCTTACCTCCATTGACGTCAATCACAATTTCTCCTCGTCGATACTCGAACCCCTCTCCTGTGTTCAGCCAGACATCAATTTCTATGTTATGTTAATAAACCCTCCCCTGTGTATCATAATCGGACTGACACTCGACTAGATTTGCAGCGTTGTTCCTCGTGGAGTCCCTCGACGAATCCAGCGACCGGCCTGTAATCTTCAGCAGAGATATTATACATATGTATCAGTCAGTACCTCCATGCCATGCCAACGCAGGGAACTGAGATCTAGTCATGACGATCTCGTGGACGAACTGCACATTCCACTTCCGCGGATTTTGCACTCAGCGCTGATGAGAGAATGGAGTGCTGTGCTGTGTGACTTCTCTCGAGGGCGTGGACCACCGTGGACTTAGAATCGAAGAGTGAGCGTCACATCGGTGTCGACTCAGCGGCATCCGCACGAGAGCAATACCTTGGTGGGGGCGGCATCATCGGATCGGATGACCTGGTGGCAAGCTGTCCCAACGTTTCCAAGACGTCTCTACGTTTGGCGATAGTGTCAGAAAGACACGATATGCAGAACATGCTCGCAAATGCTGAACCTTGGAGTCTCTCTCTCTTTGAAAATTTTCCAACTCTTGGACCTTCGGCTCGATGTGATCCGATGCAGTGGAAGAGGCTATGGACAGCGTGTACAATCTTTTTTTAGTACCTCTGGTGGGAGCAAAGATTGGTAAATTGCGCTCGACTCCACCGGTGACTGACTGATTGACTAGTCGCCTGCACAACCTCGAACATGAGCTCGTTATTTCACTGTTTATATGCTTCACCCATCTGGCTCTGGGGAACATCATCTTCCATGTGTTCCACATTGCCGTCGAGGTTTTGCATCACGCAACTTCCTGGATGTCTTGGTTAAAGGGAACAAGAGATATTCATGTCTTGATCCGTGTGACAGGGTCTGACAGCTGGGAAAGTTGAACAGTTTCTGAGTTGGTCCTTTAATTTATTCAGCCACAATGCTGAGAAAACTGAAAGCACGAGTGCTTGATTCCGTTTCCCTTGTTCGTGTGCCATCACAGTGGACATAGAATCTTCGATTTTGGACTTGTAATTGATATCACCGTCAAGCGTCGGTGCATATGAGCTATAGACTGCGCGCACTGCTGTGGTCGAGTTCTGCTCAGCATGCTGGAAGCCTGCCACATCTCCCTGATCTTCATATCACTTCAATTGTGGACAGTCTTCTCGGCCGTACTGCAACTTTGCTGCCTCATCATTCGAGCAATTCTTCGAGACTCTGAGATTCAACCACTTCAAAACATCAGCCGTGGGGTTCTGATCAACTTCATGTTTCGTCCCTTTAGTTTGGATACCTGGATATTTTTTTCTCTGATATTTTCACCTTAATTACAGAATATCAACAGCGAATGTCGGCCCCTGTCGGAAGGATATTTGTGTTCCCATCAATTATATCGCTTGAACAACAGAGGAGCATTCGTTGTTGAGCGAATGGCATCTTTCATCCATGTCCGTCTTTGTTCATAGGCCAAATTGCAATACATATATGTCTTTGTTTGGTCAAATGCGAGGCATCTTTAGCAGGAATTTTTTGATGGTAAAGCAACCTAAATGTGACAATATCCTTTCCAAATTCTATTCAATATTTGAAAAACTGGTTATGTTCAAAGCCCAGGAATAGAGGAATGTAATCTAAAAGTTTTAATATATTTTTATATTCGCATCTACATATTGAAAGACATGAAAGAAAGATAAGATGTTCTACAAAATGAATATTAATCTCACTATTTACTACTATCCATGATTCTAGAATCATGGATAGTAGTATAGGGATGTAATCTTCTTATCATAAGTATGAAAATTCATACTTTTATTTATCGAAAAGGTTTTATATCATTAAAGATATAAAGATGATAAGCCCAAACCGAAATTGTTAATAATTACTGCTAAAAATCATTATAGCGCCCGCACCGCCACGTGGTTGCAACAGAATGGTTCTGTTAATATGCTTACGATTTAGAAAGACAAAATACATAAGTCTTAGGTTCAGTTGCTCTTGAACCTGAACCAGCTCATACTATTCGCTTCTTTAAAAAATTGGCACGGCACTCAAGTCTATCTTCACAGAGCTACATTTCATATCACAATATTTCAATGTTTTAAACTAACGTGACCCTTTCATTAACTTCTTGCTGGTTCGTAGGCGGAGTTTTCAGAAGACACAAGCTCTTACTGCTGCTTATATATCCATCGATATGTGATGCGCTAAGCTTCATGTGACTATGAATATGTCATGACACAGCACTATTTCAACCATTTTTATAAAAAAATAAAATTACATCCAATATACGAGTTGCTGTAGACCCGAGAATCATGTAGGTAAAATATATATGTACTTGCGTTCAGCAGAGAAATCGCCTCATATAATAACAATATTCATCGACCAACCACGGATTCATCATGGCAAATATATCAGTGTTTCCTTCATCACCTAAATTTACTCAACTGCCTCGTCATTCCGGGAAGCCAAGTCCAGACCGAAATTTCTGGAGGCGAGGAACGTATGGGAGACAGCACCTGCATGTCACATGTCGCAAGGTTCACCTCTCCTTGCCCTGGGTTAAGCAAGACGTGACATGGAAGGAAGTATACATCCATAAGGACAATGGTATGTAAGGGTTCTTGTCTTGTGGCCATATTCTAGGAAAAGATATCAATCAGCTCTCGTCGAAGATATGTCGCAAAAGGCGGTCGCGTTCTGACATTCATTGGAGACCAATAAACACCTCCTCACATCAAAAACACTCTGAGGCTGACATTCATTGTAGGCCAATACGCACCCCCTCCACATCAAAAGCACTCTGAGGCGACACGAGGGTACCCTTTGCGGTTCACGATGTTACGAAATGAAAGACACCATGTAATATAGCAAAAAGGATGTGAGATCCAATGGGGTTTGATGGGGCTAGGCCCGAATGTTAAGAAAGAGGCTGTTGAAAAAATGCATCGTCACGCCTACAAACTGGTTTCAGAACCCATGTTCAATACTTCACCCCAAAAGTAGATTTAGCGTGACGTCATGGGGTTCCACTTATGCCAGCAGTATTTAAATATTATTACTTTGCACCCAGTGTTCATTTCACATTCATTCTCGACACACACGGTCCAATCTTGCGATCTAAAGAATACAGAGCAAAAATGTTACAATTTCTACATGAAAAGCTCTCGTGCAAGACAACAAATGGACCCACTGAAGGAAGTAGTAGATGCAGTAGTGTCTACGAACTTAGTTAGTGGCCATGGTGCATAGCACTGCACACCTACGGACCCACCTTAGTCAGCCTTCTCAACCCGTAGGGAATAAGGCGTACAAGAATCGATCTGCCCTTCCACCGCTGAAGGAACAAAAGTTCAAGCTTCCGCTCCAAGAAAGAGGAAACGGTTTCGATACAAACAAAAGGCCCTAGGCCTGGCGAACATTCGAATGCTTCTTTACGCTAATTTGATCCACTGCATGGAGCAATAAACATCAACATTCAAACTGTTTGGACCTGGCTCGTTACTGGATAGACGTACATAAATTCCTTCATTGGACCATATCACTGACCGAACTTTTTATGGTAAGAAAGTGATACAGGTTTATGATTGTACATTTATAAACGCACTGTCCGAATAGGTCGGTGCAAGGATGAGCTCTATTATCCCAGGCTGTGTTCTCTGAATATAAGAATTTGTTCATGACTTTGATCGGTGCCAAAATTGACCAGAATATCGGAATCGACGGATCACAGATTTTCTCCAAATGCTGATTACAGAGGGTGCAGTCTCACCTCACTACTTCACTTCATCCACGTTATAGTAAAGTCCAGGGACCAGGTAAAGATTTAGCAAGAAAGGTGGGAATACCGCATCAAGTCGGACATCGATGAAACCAAAGGAGTAGGAAGATAGAGCTAGGCCCCAATGGCATCGTGACAATGTGACAATGTCACACTGACTATGGTACAGCAAAGTACTGCCAAAGTGATGGATCGACCAGTTCGGCCCTTCTGTGTTATACGTATGTCCATATCTACAGAGCGTCGATCGTATCCTCGAGCTTCATGAAAGTTACCGGACACTAACAATTGACGAACCTGCAGGATTTTGGCATGACCCCGAATTTATGTCGAAGAAAACCACGTCCACTGCGTCGACAAACGACGACGAGGGCGATAATGAGAGCTCTCGGTCATGGATCGATCACGTCGCGAAGGGTGGCGGATCAGCGAGTATGACAAACGATGTGGTACGATCGAAGATAACCACAACGCAAGATCTGAAAAGATTCACGGCGACAGAAGGAACGATGACAAGTCACCGGATGTACCGTTTTGCTCCAACAGCTCGACGTCCAGTGTGGCTCGGTGGGCGGGCGACACGTGGTGGGGAACGCAGAGATTCGACTCGTCCGTCGGAGCCAGTGCGCCAGGCCCGCCTGGCCGCGGTCACCAGAACTCGGAAGTGACATGTAAACGCGAACCGGGTTGAGCCGACGACCGCGTAGGCGCGCGACGCGGCACGTGGCGCCACGCGAGTGACGAGAAGTGGTGGAACTCTCCAACCGACAGGCCACCGAGCGCCACCTGGCTCGGGGTTCGCGATCCAGCGGGCTGGGACCTCGCGCGGCTCCAAAGCTATAAAATTCGCCAGCGGCGGGTCGGATTTTCGATAGTGCGAGAGGCTTCCTGCAATTAGCAAATCCTTCCACTGCGAGACACGAGCAGCGACACGAGCGCAAGCAGGTGGGGGGCATCTCGTCGGGGCCGCTAGGCAGGAACAACGAGCCAGCGAATTTGCTTGTCGGTCGGAATTCCTGTCGACAGCAGCAGAAGAGGTCAGTGTGTTCCTTCGGGCTTTTTGTTTTCTGGAATAATGCCCCATGGCTGCTTATAGAATTGTGAATGAAGGTCTTTACGTTCTGGAATGTATTCCAGACTGCTGCGTTCTGGCCCGGCGCCGTGACGTTGCAGAACCGCGACGGTGCGCCTTGATGGTCGGATGAGTGTGTGGAGTTTAAAAGAGAGAGGCAGTTAGGACTTGCGGATCGTCTTTCCACGTTTTCGAAGCTCGATTCTCTTCTCGAAGCTGGGACTTGGGAGCTGGGAGCTGGGAGCTGTTGTTGGCGGGGAGCTGGATGGAGTCGGAGGGCAGGAAATCGAAGTTTCGTTATTTTGATGAAGGTTGCAAAGGACCGAAAGAAATTCTATGTCTGGCGTGGGCTGTAGTTAGCATGCAGGAGTGATAACTTCGGGACTTGATGACGGGATGGATGATCGGGTGATTTGAGTTTGAAGGGAATCGACGGGAATGCAGGAGTAGTCGATTTCTTGGAGCTGAATTCCACAGAGTTTTTGTAGTTTGTATGAAGAATTAGAAAGTTGTAAACTTAGACTTCGGGGATCCGATTTTTGACAGATTCGGGAGATTTTTCTTTCACCGACTACAGCAGTTGCTAAGCTGTAGATACTAGATAGGCGGAATACATTTACATTGCAGGTCTTGTTTTGAAGGGTGTGACGACGGGGGATTTTAGATCGCTAATCTACGGATGAGAAGTTTTCGATTCGACTTGGGATGTTTAAGCTCCCGCCGTAGACACTGCAGTCAGATTTATAGATCGATTACATATAGATGGATCATCATCTGACTGAATCTCGATGATTTATCCGGCCGTGCAATCTGGATTAATCAAACGTGCAATTCTCTTACGAGATTCATGAGCAGTATTCGGCTCTCGACTTTGACGTAGATCAGTCTTACGAAATATCGTCTCGGATATGAAATCGTTGTGTTCATCAATCTGATCATGTCAAATGTAAGCTCGAGCGTGGAGAAAGCGTGGAGAAAGCATGGAGGTGGTGAACTGACGGTGGTAACGGCGGCGCTGTGTTTTGCAGAATTTTTTCGGGCATTGGAGACATCTGCAATGGAGAATACTCTCCCCGACCACCTGCAAGGGCAGAGACAACTCCGCCATAGTAGTGGAAGCGACATGTCCGATTCAAGCTACCAAAGCTACCAACTTTCTGAGGGATTTCCAGGAACCAGGCAGTCATCAATAAATACAGAGCCTTTGACACTAGACGCAGAGGAAATAGGAAACGCCAAAGTAAGTGCCGGAACTGTTGGTCCTATTTGCAAGTGAAGCAGTTACAATGTCAGTACTTTACAGAGTCATAACCTCAACGGAGATCGATCCGTATGTGGTCGCTGCAAATACACCGCCATTTTATCTGTGATTGTCCACTCCAATCTAGATATCTATAGTTGGAATGCAAGGAAGATTAGAGGATTGCATTATCAGTGTATTGGTCGGTACCCGTTCCCTTTCGGAGAGACACGGTCGAGAAATCCGACTCTGGTGCTGAAGGAGGAGTCGAAGTTTTGAGAACTAGGGACCTCCTGCACTCGAACCATGATCTCTACCACCATACCAAATACCCTCTGCTTAAAGCCTTTTTGGATTTTAACATTTCTTTCTAAACTTTTACTAAAGCTAAACCTCGAACTCATTTCTGGGAGTTTAAATTAAAAAGGTCCCAGTTTTTAATATGTGTAGGGCGAAGCAAAACACGTTTTGGAGAATGTTGATCCAGAAGAAGCTATTGATATATTTACAAAGGTAAGTCGTTGATCGACGTTGGCTGCTCCATTTGAGATGGTGAAGTTGGAAGATCGAGTATCATTAGTAGACTGTACCCTTCAAAGCTTTTCACTTTGTACTTCTAACCGCTGTGAAAAAATTTTCTCTAGTAAGGAGAGAACTAACAACAGACAGGTAGGTAGAGAGGCTACCTCTCATCCTTTCGTGACACGGGTCGGTTTCAGTAGTTGACAGAAGCTGTCATGTTCTTGGGTTCTTTCTCATGTTCTTGGCTTTTTCTTCTTGGATTTACAGGACTTGCAGATACAGAATGGAATAGCTTCCACTGAAGAAGATATGGCGAAGAACATGGCGAATGAGTTTGAAACGTTGATGCAGAAGGCCTCCAAAATCGTGGAGGCGAACAAGAAGCAAGCGAAAGCTACCGCTAAAATCCCGGGAGCTCCAAGCGAGTCTAGTCCAGGGAGCTCCAAGCGAGCCTAGTCCAGGGGAAAGCAAAGGTTAGGGAAAACATTTCAACAGTGTAGAGTAGACAACTTGTAGATTTGTAGATAGATTTGAGACATTGGAGAGTACGCAGAGGCGAAGCCCCTTGTTATCTCTCTAATCATACACAGAAACTCGTTATAGTAGAGTGACGAACTCTTAACCGGATCAAATCTTCTTGCACATGGTACATCTTCTTGCACATGGTAAAGTTTGCAAACGACAGTAGTGCTTATACTGTAATGATGAGTTGAGACCTCTAGAGACTATTAAGGATTTGAGTCTGATTCTTCATAATCTTCTTGAAATCAACAAACATTTGATTTGTTTGGTATTGCAACCTGATTCTTGCAAACTGAAATTTACCTATGGTGTTGAAATTATATCCTGCAATATATGGCAATCTGCCAAGTATCGACCGTTGAACTGAACCCGATAGACAGCCACCCGACGAGGCACAAAAGCTGTGCCATACTTCATAGTTATTTCCAGTTTGCGACAGATCTCTCCGATATTGGAAATATGATTCGAAAGGTTTTGCAACTTCGAACACATGGAAAATATGTTAAAACTGTACACTCAGAACAGTAACAACTGAAAAGTATTTCCCGATGTACAGTGGCAAACTGCAGTACACAGTACCTTTCAGATAAAGTGCGACTGTGTACAAATCTTACATTGAAATGCGCAGAATGAATACAGAGTAGGGCAGCTGACAGCCTCCAAAAGAATCGCACGAACCTTTACTGCCTTATTCTAAAATTTGTCAACTGTTGCCAAAATTCCTTTACTTTATGTTCCAGACAAATTAAAGCTCTTCCTGATGACTACTTACCCTTCGAGACCAGAGACTCTACGCAGCGTCCTGCAGAAGAGAGCTCAAATATAACCGACTCGAAGTAGCATATAAAATATATGACAGAAACCAAGAAGCCTCCCCTTTTTATACAATTTGCTTTCGCCTGACTAGATATTGCCTTGCTCTTGGCTCGAAGCTTCATAAGATCAAATGTACACTGATTCGACAGAGCTCCGGCGAGCAGCCACTGCATGGGTCGAAAATCGCTGCTTGATGAACACTGTACACAGAAATGTTAAGTGCAGTACGGGAGTACTGTCGACTCCTTGCAGATTGAAGCCGAAACTGCATTGCTCCACCATGCAAAGAAACAGTAAAGACCAAAGCAGAAGCAACGTTTCTGACGATCCATCTGCACATTAAGCGCTCTACTCACGTTAGCAAACGTAAAATAGATAGAGAGACGAGACGTTGCAACAGCAAGGTGAACCACTTTTCGAGCAAGATCAGCATACACAGGGTCGTGAGAATTCTCAGACGTGAAGGCCTTAATGAGTCAGCACCTGAAAGTGGCCACTCTTTGATATTAGTTCCTATTCAATATAAAACAAATTTTTTGCCTTATGCGAAACTGTGATTTGAATTGCCCATGTCATGACCAAACTCCAGCTATACTGATCTCTTGCGTACTTGGCAGTAACCGATGTGGTCAGGTCAAGAAAGAACTCTTTCCCGCTTTTACTCGGTGGTGGACGAACACTATCCAAAGGGCCTGCAATAATTTATTGATGAGCAAAGATCTCTATTCTGCATAGGTAACCATGTGCTTTGAGGACAACAGGACTTCCATACGATCCACGAAAACACTTCCCAAGAAAAGCAGTTCCAACAGACAATCCAGCCTTGCAAAATTGCAATGTTCGAAAAGTTTACAATTAGATACATACACAAGGTAGAAGCAAATGAGTTCCACAAAGGGCAATCGTGTACATCCCGCAGCGCAAGAGAAGTCAGACACTGCGCGGTCCGTTAAATGGACAGCCCGGCCACAATATCCGACTTTACACAACAAAACCCAGTGGCATATTCAATTTCATGTCAAGATTGTAGGAACAAATGTAAAAGTGAAGCCCCTCAGGGTTTGGTGTTAGGAATCTCAGCATCCTTGAAGTGGTGCCAACCACTCTAAGCAATATACAAGGCGCTCTGTCTCTTGGAGAAGCAAACAGGGATCTACAGAGGACTCCTCTACTCTACTGTTTAATTTATGACCTAAAAATGTTACAACTGTAAACTCCGAAGTGGGGCAACACGCACCCACAACTCATGATAATTACAAAAGGAAACGCACTAATCAAAATATATAGACCTCTTTGCTGCACAAAATTTCAATATTTCAACCAAGATTGCCCAGAGATGGAATCGGCACTCTGTACTCGCAGGTTGAAGTCAAAAGGGAGCGGCAGAACGGATTGACAATGTTGCCGGAGGAACCTGCTCTGGGGAGTGATGGTCCACTTCTTTCGGGAGATATCATACATCACGGCTTGATCCCATTTAGGAGAAACAAAAAACAAGTGATCCCCTTGCCCAACCCAGAACAAATCGTCGTCAAAATGGAACAGCTCTTCAAACTTTCTACCATTCCGGGGCAGCAGAGTAGGCACCAATTTCCACTCGTTGGTCGAAGGCCGCCACGTGTGCACGGCAGGCAGTCCGTGATTCTTCTCCACCCTCTGCACCAGCACGAGCGCACCGCGCCTCTCAAAAAGCAATATGTGCTCACCTTCAAGATGCGGTAGCAGAACGGGAGATTTAGTCCACTCCATCCGCTTCAAATTGAACACCATCATCAGATCATTGTACCCATCCTCCCCAAATTCTACACAGTACAGATTCTCCCCACAAACTGCGTGCCTGCGAGAAAAGTACCCAGGTTCGTTATCCACCCAGGGAAAGTATCCAGCCATCTCCCACTTGTTCGTCCTCGAATCATAAACCTCTGTCACTCGGCAAAGACAGGTCCTCGAATGCATCCAGTTGTGAGGGCACGTGCTCGAGCCCGCGGCAATAACTCTAAAGGAATTCGATGCCTGATCCACAACCAAAGCCACCAAAATAGGTTTCCAGAGCCGCCCTCGAGCAGAGAGTTCGGTGTCGATGGATGTCTCGGGGAGCTCTTTGTAGGTTCTTGTAACAGGATTGCAGAGAAGAATGCTGGCGGGGCCTGCGAACCACGTCCGGCGCATGACCACGCAGAGGAGGCCCCCGTCCGCGCAGACCGACATGACCTCGGCTTTTAGAAATGGGACCGACGGGGGTGGGCAGAAGTGCCATCTCTCCAGCCAGGGATCATAGGCTGCCAAGCTCTCGGGCTTGTGAAATTCGAAGATGAGGAAGTGAGGCCCACAGTGAGGAGCTTCTGCTCGAAGCTTGGTGAAGGCGGGAGACACGATCACGTCCCTCCAGCGCTTGCAGACCAGGCGGAACTGCAGCAAGAGGGGAACCGGGAGGCATGCGAGGACTCTGTCTTGCAACTCGTTCGGCAGGCCTTTCCAGACCCGTGGGTCCATTTCTTCGTCGCCTCTCTCGGGCTGCTGGAGCACTAGAGGCATGGTGCTGAGCGCGTCCTCCATGTTTCCTCCTCCTCCTCCTCTCTCTTCGTCTATGTTTCGCAGGCCTGTGATCCTCCTGCAACCGCCACGCGCGTTTCGTTGGTCGATCCTCGCCGGAAACCTGTCTCGCCTCGCGGCTCTCGTGTATAGAGAGAGGCAGAGCGAGAAGCAAGAAGACGAGAGTGTCTGGAGAGTCGCCAGATTTGTTTGAGGGTATGCCCACATTTATCCTTTCCACACAGGAACGAAAACTGCGATGAATTCCCCCACAACCCACCCTTCGTACCTCTCCCCCCCTCGCTCCCGCCCCCTCTGACACAAAGCTCGAAAAACCTCACCGCGCTTTTCCTCCCTCAGGTTCTCGTGCTCGTACCCACACACCCAACGCCAATCGCCTCCCTGCTTCCTGCTGCCGATCCCTCTCCACAGCCTTCCTGTTGCTCACTACGCTGCTCGTCCTCGCCGTCGACCTTCAAGCCTGCACCTGCGGCAGCGACAACAGCAGACCTGCGCCCACGGGGGCAAATGGAATGAAATACTTCAATGCGCGAGCGAGTGCTTTCCCTCGCAGGTTCCCCTTACCTTACCTCTCGCCCACAGCCCAACCCTCGCCTCCCCTTTCGCTTCACTTTCTCTCCCTCTCTCCCTACTTCCTTCGACTTCTTTCCTCCGCTCTCTCCCTACCAATCGTCGTCAGGCGGATTGGTTGATAAATTAGAAGCGGATTTCGATACCATCGGCTGACTCTGAATTTCTAAAGTCTCAGTTCCATGAGCATGCAGAATGAGGCAAAGAAATCCGCAACTCTTCAGAAACCGACTTCCCACCTCCTATCATCCTCTCTCCTCTCATACTCTCCTCTCCTCTTCGTCCCTCCTCCCACAACTAAAAGCTTCTCCGCGAGCCCGTCTGGTCCAGAGCCCACCTGATGTTGCAACTGGGGGACTGCTCGGATGCTCCTGCTCCATACAGAGGGATGGCCATACTACAGTGGGCTCAAAGAAAGACCCAGCCAAGCTGCGCCGAAACTCGGCCTGACACAAGACCTCGTCCCTGGCTACAAACGAGGCAGCCCGTCCCCGGCCTGGAGCCCAAGTGTGTCCCTGCTGCTTAATGGCATGATTCCGTATTCTACAGGATGGGGTGACCCGAGTGCGCTCGATTTACATGCACCTGCTCCAGCCTGCGTGGCCTCTGGTCAGGCCCGGCTCGCGCTTATGTGACCCTTTCGGTTGAGGTTAGCCTTTACTTCGAGGTGATTAGGGGTTGGTTGGTCTCGGCCTCGCTCGCAGGCTCGCAGCGCCTTTTGCTATTCTCTCCTCTTCTCTTCACTTCTCGGCATGCGAAATTACTCCCGCCTCTTGTGCACGACGACCCCACGCAATTGCACTTGCTAATTCTACTGCTGTTGCTGCTGCTGCTGATGATGATGATGCCGCTGACTCTTCCCCTTCTTTTCGCTGCGGGACTTCTTTCGCCTTCTCCAAACGTCTGTCCATCTATCTATCTGTTCATTCGCTCTTTTCCTCTATCTATTCCCCCTCCACTTCCTCCTCCTCCTCCTCCTGCTCCCTCGTGAGACGAGGGGCCTAAGATCTTCCTCCTTGGACTTCGTCGATCGAAGTGATCTTTATCGCCATCTCTCTCCCTCGCTCTTTCCGTTGCTGAACAACGCTCACCGGCGTTGCTTGGATGGAAGTTGCTCTCCTGCAGCTACTGACGTTTGGCTTCCTCGCACTCACTTGCAATGGCTTCCGCCTGCAGCGCTCTTCTGCTCCTCATGCTCTGCAAGCTTCCATTTTGCTTGTCTTCTTCACCAATTTGACATTAGCCGTGTCATCTTCTACCTCTACATATTCATGTTACGTCGTGATTCATCCGATACGCTTGTGCTGTGTAGAACCTAAACTAGTTAGTTATGATATCTTAAGGTGTCGAGGGGCATAATTCCCATGGGTGCTATGGGGCCCATCCCCGTCCTAGTCCTTTGGTTTCATCCGAGTACTACTTGATGAGGTTATCCCATCCTTTTTGCCATATTCCTTGCTACCCTGCTTCCCTTTCTTCCCTTTCCACCTCCCCATGTTAACATGTAGCTTCACAATTCTCTTCGATCAGGCTTCGGCTTTAGGCCCAGATCAGTATTTCTTACTTTTTCTTTCCTCGCTCCTCCCCTTTAAAGTTTTCTTCTTTCATTTCAATATTGTTATCCACCTGTATTTCCTGACGATCATTCCTCGCATGATTCTTTCCTTCTTCTTCTTCTACTCCGAGTCCGCCCTTTCACCCATCCGTCATAACTAAATTCCTTTCTTTCGTGGAAAGTGTGATTTGGGCTGCGTTCATTTCGTGGAAAGTGTGATTTGGGCCCCTCCCGAATAGCCTAAGTCCGAGGTCCAGCTTTACGGGAAATACGGTGACCGAACCTCTCCCGTTACGTATCTTCCTGGCTATGTTACTCTGCCTTTGGCCGGTCTACATTCCCGACTCTATGTCACCCAATCTGCAGATCTCTCTGGCTCTGTGATTCTCTCGCATGCTCCTCTGGCCCTCACCTCCCTCTGGCTCCACCTCTAAACCCGCTAATCAAATCAACAAGATCTCGCTCTCTCTGCTTCCTTGCCTCAACTTTGTATGATCTCGATCCTTCAGGCTCACGGCAGCTCCTCGCCTCCAGATCCTCTGCCGTCCCCTTTCGTCTTCGCCCGGCTCTTCTTCCTCTCCCTCCCTCCCTCCCTCCCTCCCGCCGCCCGCGTTCTCTGAGGTTCTCCCTCGTTCCGCTGTGCTGCTGCATATAACTACCTCCCTTCGTTTGTCCGCAGCCTTGCCCTAGTCTGCGTGCTCGTTTCTTGTCAACAGCCTTCTCTTTCTGGCGTTTCCAGCTGCCTCCTCCCACATCTCGAGGCCATTCTGCCATATTTTCTGCTATCCGGCCCATTTTTTAATACATACAGCATCACCACTATGATTGACAGACTCGTTCTGGCAGACGATGCTGTGATGGGGCCAGTGATCTTTGGCGAACCAAACAGCAACCTCATCTTTCTCCTTATCCTCGACGTCCCGATACGGCCGTAGCACCAGCACCAGCAGCACGGCAGCAGTTTGAGCCCTGACGGCATAAGACACTTCACAGCGCTGTCACCAATTTGGTCTCGACTTGCATACAACTACTGTGATCGCTCCCCTTTCCTTTCCTTTCCTTTCTTCGCCATCGCCATCAACATCATCATCATCATGGCTGACCTTTACCTTCCAGCGAGAGCCATTCGAGAATCGGGATGTCACAGTACGTTCCAGCATGCCAAGCCATGCCACTGACTCTCACTGTACGCGATCGTTATCTTTTCCGCCCGTGGTAGTGAGACCGCAGGCAAGTCCAATTTCGCTCGACGACATGGCGACGCTGGCGAGCCCCCCATCTCCCTGTTCGACTGGATGGGGCGGGCCTGCCCATCCTCTTCGCCCCGTGGCTCGGGCCCCTTGTTCCTTGATGCCATCCAAGAAATGGCCGCGACACCGGCATCGTATCGGCTCACACTTCAGCCGCAAGCGTTCCCTCCTCCCCCTCCCTCTTGACGCGCCTCTTTGCCGCCCACATGAGCGTTGCCAACGCGCAGTTGGCACTACGCCTATCGCATCTACGCCTTTGGCCAAAGCGCACAACGGTCCCTTCCCCTCCCAACCGACTGCTGTAGGAGTCCACCGGGAATGCCATAGGAAGTGGTATCCAGTCGCCTCTTCCCTCCTTAGGAAATGGAAAATCGTTCGGAATATCATCTTTAAGATGCGGAAGATGTGCGGCAGATGAGATCCGAATATATGTGTTTTTTGATGATTCTAGCGCTTGATGTGTACGAGCGATTATCTTTTGGGAATGGAAAATGTTGCATGTTAATATGGGCGGGATTATTCGATGAATGTAAGCATTTCACCAACAAGAATTTCCAATTTTGATGTATAAAGGAATATAATATACAAGAGTAAACGTCATTGATGTACATAAGCTTTGGTATGGACGATGCAACATCTTTGATCATTATCTGTCTCTTTCATAGAAATATGGGAATGGAAAATGTTGCATGTTAATATGGGCGGGATTATTCGATGAATGTAAGCATTTCACCAACAAGAATTTCCAATTTTGATGTATAAAGGAATATATTATACAAGAGTAAACGTCATTGATGTACATAAGCTTTGGTATGGATATGATAATGATATTGACAATAATCAACCTTTATCCATTTGAAATCAATCTTTTAGATGAAATTTTCAACTCATTTTTGTATAATTTAGATATATCCTTGACAAGTCAATTGTAAATGACTAGACACTATTTTTAAATTAAAGAGTGTTTATCGACCATGGAGTAATCGATCAGATCTTATTACCAATAAAAAATCTTAGCAAAGGCAACAATAAAATGATTTGATTAAAATTAACTGCTTCTAACAGGCGTTGTGACATAATCAAGAATATTAATACAACAGAATATTTTTTAAATCATCATCACAATATTTTTTTAATCCTTACTATTTTGAAAAAATTCCAGAAAAAATTTATTAAAATTTAATAATATATCCAATTATATAAAATTTCCTTTTTTATGGTTATATAGTTTTAAAATTATTTATTTTTATTTCTTGCTTTAAAAAAAATTTGAAGTGATTTTCAAATGAAAACGAAAATAATAATTTTTGTATTACATTTTATTAAAAAATAATTTTTCATTTTAAATATATAGTTGAGCTTTTCTTTATTGCAAATGGATGATTATAAAAATGATAGAAATTATTTCCTTTACAATATCTTTAATTTTATTTTGTAAATATGGCTATAAATTTTATTTTTGGGAAAAAAATATTCATCAAATTGTAAAAAAAATTGAAAATTTTATTCTATGAACTTCTGATGAAAAATCTCATATATATGTTTAGATCTCTTTGATCTAAAACTTTTGGTGTTGTACTTTTTAAAATGAAAAAAGGAGTGAAAATATTCCTTGTGGTTATCATTTTGCAAGGTTTTCATAAAGAGATTGAAAGAATTATATTTCAAAAATTATTTTCCATGAAATATTATTATTTATTCCAACTAATCAGAATGATATGTACAACATAAATTTTTATATTTATGTTGTACATATCATTCTGATTATTTGGAATAAATGTAAGGTGTATGACTTGTCTACAATCAAGTTTGAATTGATTGTAATTTGATCA